GGTTCTCACCTGGTCACAGACGTGAATGACGTTTGACTGGTGTCTGACGTCATACTGGTCAAGGAGGTTTGGCTTGTAACTGAACTATGAGAGGTGAAAAAAAATGTAAATCCTTTTTTTTAAATCATATATTTCAGCTTGTGCTTGTTGTTATTATTTTCGTTGTTGCTTTATTGTTGCTGTTGTTTTGTTCCTGTCTCATGCTCTGTCTATCTGTCTGTCAGTCAGCTTATTTGTTTGTTTGTCTGTCTGTCAATTTAACTGTCAGCCTGTCTATCCGCCTTTCTGTTTGTTTGTTCGTCTGTTCGTCTGTTCGTCTGTAAATTTTTCTCATTTTTCGCCTTGGTCAAGGAATTATTTTCTTTCAGATTTATCTTTGTATAATTCAAACTAAAAAAAAAAAAAAGAATAGCTGTTGTTCATGGTAAAAATTGCGGATGAAGATAACGTAACCCCAATACCTTGCAGCGTTCCTATTGTGTGAAAAATCTATGTTCACTGTATAGTTTTTGCCGATGATGATGATGATGAAGATGATGATGATGAAGATGATGATGATGATGATGATTATAATGATGATCATGATGATAGTCGGTAGTATAGAGGTTAGGCTACCCTACTCGTAATCGTGAGATTGCTGGTTTGGTTGTTCGAGGCTAAACTCAGTGCAACGCTTGACTCACTCTTATTAGAGATGGGCTTTGCATTTGGAGGTTCTGTCTCTGAAATAACCTTGCAGAGTTGTGAGGGCCGTTAAACCTATCAATTCCATAATTTGCCACGGCGTAAAAGTATGATTTAAGCCTTGAGAACCTTGTAAGGTTGTTTGTAAGAGGTGTTTACTGTTAATGCTGAGTTTGCCTTTCTTGTGTTGCTGTTTCTTTTGGTGATGGTATTTCGTGTTGACGATGATGATGATGATAATGATGATGATGATGATGATGATGATGATGATGATGATGATGATGATGATGATGATGATGATGATGATGACGGCTCCTTCCGATATTGTCCAAATCGCACCAATACGTAACGTATACTGAACGATTTATTGCTATGGCGCACACACAGAAACACACACGCGCGCACAATCACATACACATAAACCAACACCAATCGCGGTTCGTCCATAGCGCACGGTCGTTTAGTGCGCACAAACAGTAGCCAAATATTGTATAAAAACAAGGTCCTCACTGGCACCGTAACTGTCATTTCTGTGTCTATAGCGTCGTAAAACATCTACTATGTCATGCCAAAGTCCACGCTCTTTAACTAAACATAACAGGATATTCAACAGTGGTAATCTGACCTATAAATCGCTCTTTGGGATATATCCCAAGCGATGACGACACTCGTAGCAAGTTTGGTGGTACATTGATAAGCCTACTAATAAGACGGCACATCTCAAATGTGCTCCTGCCGAATAGTGTCGAAACATAGTCCACAACAGGCAGTCTAAAAATAAACGCGATAGACTGTACACTATTCTAAGGCAAAATTATGTGAGCCCCGGAGCAATCCAGCAGAGTGCTCAAGCAGTGGCGGTGGGTAGTGAAGGGCTCACGGGCGTGAGCCCCTACCACCTCCCCAACCACCACCCCCAACTCTATCCCAAAGTAAATGAAAGTTTCTCCATAATGAAATAAGCAGTTGAAACCGTTATGACCGCACGCAATGAACACAGAGTGATCAACCTGGCGGCTTGCTCGCTTATCCAATCACTGTTGTCAACGCTTACAACTATAGTTTCCCAGCAGCCAATCAAATGTCTTTAGGGCTCAGC